GCTACCTGGGCTCAATTCTCAGAGCAACATGGCATCCCTTAGTGAAGACTTGCTTATAACAGTGAATAAGCTACAAGATCTTGTTTTCAACACGATTGGAAATGACTCACTCGATCTACCGCAAATTGTGAGTTCTTATGGGAGGCATCACAACTGTGTGCCAACATTGCTCCATTACTTCTCTTTTGCTGATTCACCTTCTCGGAATTTCCCTTGCTCTCTAGGTTGTTGTAGGTTCCCAGTCTTCCGGAAAATCTTCTGTCCTGGAAAACATTGTTGGGAGGGATTTCCTGCCGAGGGGAAGTGGTATCGTCACAAGACGGCCCTTGATTCTACAGCTCATCAACATCCCCAGTGAACACAATGATAGGCCCGGTGACAACGATGTTCTTGCACCCCACACAGCTGCTAGTGTAGCTAATCAGCACGAATGGGCTGAATTTCATCACATTCCGGGGCGCAAGTTTGAAGACTTTGCCTTGGTGAAGCAGGAGATTGAGGCCGAAACAGCTCGAATTGCTGGGAATAACAAAGGCATCAATAGGCAGCCCATCAATCTCAAGATTTTCTCCCCTCATGTGCTCAATCTTACCATGGTCGATTTACCAGGGTTGACTAAGGTGCCTATCGGAGACCAACCATCCGACATTGAGAAGCAGACCCGAACGTTGATTCTTGAATACATAGCCAAGCCGAATAGCATTATACTCGCAGTCTCTCCGGCAAATGTCGACCTTGTGAACTCCGAAGCGCTAAAGCTTGCAAGACAAGTAGATCCAATGGGCCGGAGAACAATTGGTGTCTTGACGAAGTTGGATTTAATGGATCATGGAACCAATGCAATGGACATCCTTTCTGGTCGTGTCTACCCGTTGAAACTCGGTTTCATCGGCGTCGTCAATCGATCTCAGCAAGATATACAGTCAGGGAAGTCGCTATCCGAGGCCTTGCAGGCTGAAGTTGAGTTCTTCAGGCATCACCCTGCTTATCGAAACATGGCGAATAGATGCGGAACTCAGTTTCTTGCAAAAACCTTGAACACGACGCTGATGGCTCATATACGAGATCGTTTGCCAGATATCAAAGCCCGCCTCAACACCCTCATGGGCCAAACGCAACAAGAGCTTGCCAGCTATGGCAACAAACAATTTAGTGGGGAAGAACACCGTGGATCGTTGATACTGCAGCTGATGACACGTTTTGCCTCCTCCTTTATCGCTTCGATCGACGGTACCTCCTCTGAGATTTCTACTAAGGAGCTGTGCGGAGGTGCCAGGATATACTATATATTCAACTCTGTGTTCGGCAACTCGCTTGAAACGATTGATCCCACGCATAATTTGACTGTGTCCGATATAAGAACGGCGATCAGAAACTCGACCGGCCCTCGACCAAGTCTTTTTGTTCCAGAACTTGCCTTTGACCTGCTTGTGAAGCCTCAGATTAAAATGCTTGAAGCTCCTAGTCAGCGTTGTGTTGAACTCGTCTACGAAGAGCTCATCAAAATTTGTCATACCTGTGGCTCCCAAGAACTCTTGCGCTTCCCTCGACTGCAAGCAAAACTTATTGAAGTAGTGTCCGATCTTCTTCGCGAGCGTTTGGGACCATGCTCTGCTTACGTTGAATCTCTAATCTCCATTCAAAGGGCGTACATCAACACGAATCACCCAAACTTTCTTGGAGCAGCAGCAGCAATGTCGTCTGTCATACAGAATAAACAGGAACAGGAGAGAAAGATGATGTTAGCAGACGATAGAAAAAAGCGAGAGAGAAGACGTCAGAAAGAGCTGGGCAGTGTCAATGGCGCCATCCCAATCTCGCCTGAAGAGGAAGAGGACCACTCCACTGAGTTGAGAACACAGAACCTCAGTAGTCGCGGTCAAACTTCGAAGAATTCCAGGAGCATGTCTCCTCACGTTAACAAGGGTCAAGATAGCGCCATTACCGCCACCCTGAACGGTGTCAACACTAACCCAAATGCCATGTTTGGTGCTACGAATACTACACGCGACTCGTTCTTGAATTACTTTTTTGGTAAGGACGGGATGCAGAGCTCGACACCGCTGCCTCAGCCCTTGATTCAACAGAGACAACCCAACCATCTCAGCGAGCCCGGCATTAGCCAGAGTATTAGACGACCAGATTTACGCTCGCCAATGTCGTTACCCGATGACTATGCGGGATCTTCTGATCACGGTGGGGAGATGTCTCAGCATGTATGTCGATATCCATTCTTTGAACTCATTTGAAACGGGAGCTTACTTGACTTATGGCAGGCGGACCATGCTGAGCCGACTCTCTCCGACCGCGAGCTCATGGAAACAGAGCTGATTCGTCGACTGATTTCCTCGTATTTCAATATTGTTCGGGAAACCATCGCCGACCAAGTCCCGAAAGCTATTATGCACCTTCTTGTCAACCATAGTAAAGATGTTGTGCAAAATAGACTTGTGAGTGAGCTTTATAAAGAGGATCTGTTCTCAGAGCTCCTTTATGAGGATGATGGCATCAAGGCAGAGAGAGAAAAGTGTGAAAGGCTGTTAGAAACGTACAAAGAAGCAGCGAGAATTGTAGGTGAAGTGCTGTGACCTCCGTGATGCAAAGAGTTAGAGAGCCTTCAGCCCACAAAGCCAGTTTCAGATGTTCCCCAGCAGATCAGTGATGGATGTCATTGATGCTGTATCACTCAATTGTACATAGTGTTTATTTTCCGCTTTTAATTTAGTGAGTGCCCCTGTGTGGTGCATGCTTGACTGTTGGCTATACTTTGTACTATTGACGTTAAAGATGTCTTCTTTCAGGCTTTCTTTTCAATAGCATAACTCAAGTCAGTAATATACACAAGCTAGACTTGCCCGTGGTTATCAACATATATCTATACATCCAGAACGCAAAGTCTGCCTGCGATTCGCGGGCATTCCGATCTAATATGTTACTTCACTGGCGCACCCCGCTCTAAGCTATCAGACTTAATCCTTCTTCTTACTCGGTTTTCTTAGCCGGGCACCCTCCAAACCATAGAGACCACCCCCTGCGAAGACACAGACAGCCCCAATAACAACACCCGGCGAAAGCTGGTTTCCAAATAGGTAGATGGATAACAGGAGCGAAACAAGTTTGCGAACGTTCAAAACCACCGTCACTGTCAATGAAGACGTCTGGGCGGAGAGGAGATGAACTCCACGAATGCATAGATATTGGGTCAGCGCATTCACAAAAAGATAAGCCACCTGCATGGGAATATGCGCGATGAAAGATGGAAATAAGTGGGATCCCGGTATTCCTAAATCCAAACGAGGCCCGCATATGGCAATTGAAGTGGTGGAAGAGCCTGAAGGAAGCTCGGCATCTTTTCCGACACTGATGGATGTCGCCGGAAACCGACATCGCAAGGGAGGGGAGGAAAGCATGACGCGCCATTGATCCAGGAGCCGCGGATAGGTTGGGAGGAAAAGTGGTAGCGAGAGTACATGAGAATAGAAAAGCGCTTCCTTCCAGTGGCTTCGGCCATAAGTCTCATAGAGTCGGTCTGCATATATTCCCTGAAAGGCCGAAAGAACCATTGCAGAAGCAAGAATTGCGAAGCCAGTAGCGGTAGCCGTTATACCAAGGTCTGTTCCACCATGCCCAATGTCTAATGGTACGCCTTTAGCTTGAGCATCTGCCAATGCTGCTGTAACAACACCAAGAGTGAGCACCGCTACTGCCAAAATCTGACCACAAGAATACTTCTTTCCATTGAGCAAGTATCCGACGATAAGGGAAGCAACAGGGCCGCCTGATCTCAATATTATGTGTAGGGGAACCGATATGCTATATGCGAAAGCCCAATTGTTCAAAAGATTGACTGTCACGAAGAAGGCCGTGTATACCAACCATGACCTTAATGGGATGACACGTGGACTGAGGAAGAGTGACCGAGCCCCACATGATAGCGAGACAAAATTTGGTAACGTAAATCCAGCAGTCACAATAAATTGCGCGAAGGTGATCAGGGGACCTTCCAGCGGCGGACAGAGAGGGTCAGACAGAAGTATATCTTAGTCGGGGCAATAATAGTCAGTCAATTACCTGAACTTGGTTGATCTCTAGGTAGTTTTAAATATCAGTATGTTACCATTGAGCTACCCGGGGTTCTGAACTCACTTGACAATGGCTTCTAATGCGAACACCTAGAACAACGAAGTTAATCATAGCAAGATCCATCGTACTCGGAGTACCTACATTTGCACAACACCCACCAAATATCAATGACACCATCAGGACCATGCTAATCCACTTAGGAGAGGTTGCATAAGCCGCTGCCGTAGCTATGCTTCCTAGAGCACCGGATTCTAGTGCATCCCCGTGCTTTTCTTTCGCACCAGGCTTATTTGAATCAGCGTCATCGCAGTTGCGATTGATCATTTGCTCTATTGTACCTAGGGCCGGCGTGTTTTTGATCTAGGAAGGTTGTGCTCTGTTCGGAAGTGAAAGAGGGAGAGGATGTACAAATGAGTCGAAAGGATAAATGGGACTGAGCAGCAGATTCTAGTCAAATATGGGAGATTGAATCAACTTCTGTCGCTAAATGTTGTTGACAATTCATTGTTGCTTAGTCAAGAGAGGAAGAGCTAACCAGAAATTGATGGCATAAGGTTAGATAGCGCGCGAATCGATTTTCAGGCAACCGAGGAAGACTATTCCTGATCTGTCTATTTACTAAAACGTGAATCAGGCATCGACTGATATCACACGAATTGCTTTGTATATTATAAGATCAGCCTTTTTAGGGCAAGGTATGAATTTCTAAGACCAACGTGACTCGCACGCTGGAGGAATGCATTCAAATGAACAGACCATTCAGCCTTCCAGCCTCTTTCCGTGCCAGCGGTCGGGCTAGACAGCCGTGAAAGGACAGATTAACATGCTTTAAAAGTCAAACCAGTGCAAATTGAGACGTAATATCAGAGAAAGTATGTGAAAGCCGAAAAAGCCAATCACGGTAAGTGCCGACATAATCAAACATCCTCGATATCATCGTCGCTCAAGACAAATTTATCCTCCCTGTCTGAGACCACAGGCGGAAGGTTGTGTTGGCGGTAAATGCGGCCATTAGCAGGCATTGTAGGCTGTCTGACAGAGGAGGCCCGATAAGTGGTCATGGGCTCAGGGTCGAAAGTATCATCGATGCCTTGGCGGTCACATTGTGTTCTTCGCTTGGGAATGGATGTAATCTCATCAAGTTCACGTGAAACAGTCTCATTGAACCCAATTCTAGCCATGTATGGCAATTGGTATAACAAAAAGTCACTGCGGGATGCCATAGTGGCAACTATCGCTTGCCTACCAGCCTGAAAGTAACGGCCTGCCAAGGACTTGGTGCTTTGTCTGCCGAGTCCGTTGAGTGAGTGTAATAATGTCGTTTTCCACAAATTTGTAAGTTCTTCAACTTGAACCTTCTCTTTTAATCGCCGCAGCTCAGCGGGGAAAAAAATTCTATGCCCATCTTGTGCATTCCCATTCTGGTTCGTTGACGTTATTCGCCTTTTTACCGGGGATGGGAGGGAAAATAGTAAACCACGTGCAGCAACTTGATAACTGAGCTCATCCTGTCGCAACATGCCAAGACCAAGGGTGGCCTTGTACCTTCCACGTGAAGAACTGCCTGGAGTTGTCATATTGTCAGCACTTAAAACATCACTATCTGACAATGCCTCTATGCATCCATTTATGCAGTCGACAAAAACAGGGCCATCGCACGATGGTATGTAATTCTCATAAAGGGCGCTGATGAAAGTTTGTGTATCTGTTCCCGACTGCTCTAGAAGCTCGTTCACAGGAACCAGTGAGACTGTAGGCCGATCGCAATGACATAAATGATCTGGTGGTCTGGGTGGCCGAGGATCGACGGTTGTAGAACTTAGACCCTCACGCTTATTGTAGACGATTTTTCCGACTGCATGGAATAAACCAAGGCTGCTCTCCCTGTACGTTATTGTTTGCAGTGCTTCTTTCTCAACCGGCGCCAAAGATATGTTACCTCGGCCTGTTCTCGTGGCATTGGGGAAAGGATACTTCTCAAACCGTTCACACCGAAGACAGAGAAACTCCAGTGAAGAGATCGCGCTCCGGATGTCGCCTATCTCTGATAGACTCTTCAAAATTGCGGGCCCAGGTCTTTTAGTTGATCTATATCGGCGGCTATGCTTCTCGAGAACCAGGTCCAGAGCCTTGAACATGAACGTCGGAGCAATGGCATTAAATTCAACAATCGTTGTGCCTGGATCGCTTAAAATGGCTGGCCCCAGCAACCTGTGAGCTGTTAAGTTGTCCGAATAGGATGCCCCGGTATTCAACATGGTCTCGGAAACGACAATAACAACAGGTGAGCTCCCGTGTCTCTCGATATCGTTCCGGGTATTGCTTCTCGGTTCGGATGACACTGAGAGATACCGCTGCAGAGAAAGTCGGAAAGCGGCTAAACTGGGGGAATCTCCATCAAAGACTGTTGGGAACTCCTCAATGAGAATGATACGTGGCCTCATATGATCACTGCTGTTCCTCTTGCTTGCTGATAAACCGGTTGTGCCATAAAACTCGAGCCCACGTAATCTATTACTCCTTGTCAAGAATTCTTCGAATTGGGCTGCTGTGGATGTGAATCCTTTCGCCGCAAACTCAGATCCCGACGGATTCTTCCATTCGAGAACATCGAAACCTAGCTTGTCCGACAATAGCGATAATGTAGTCGTTTTGCCGCTTCCTGCGGGGCCTCTGAGGACAAGTAATTTCTGATTTGTTCTCGAAGTTAATCTTTTGAGTCTAGGAATTCATCACTCATTTGTGATTCTGTATGCATACCTTCTCGTACGCGCAAAGGGCGCCTAATAACCAACTCTGTACATCGGCAATCTTTTTCTTGTGAACCGCGAGCTCATTCAAATTTATAGGGGAATATTTCTGTGCCCATGGCAGTTTCTCGGAGTCTCTGTCGTAATTGGTCGCTAATGGGTATGAACCATGATGCTTGCTCTCCGACGCCGATGGAACGACGAAGCGCCTGCGATTGCTTGCAAAGCTCCGCGAACGAAAAGCGTGAGCTGTTGCTTGAGCCTGATTGGCACGCTCTCCAGCAGCCAAAGGCGCCTCCATCCGCTTTTCGGGCGTTACTTTTCGCTCTGCAATGTAGTGTGAGAAAAGCTCATCGTAAGAATCGTAACCGTCCTCGATCGTGTCGTCGCTCATGTCTGTCTTGTCTGTTCTTGGCTGAGCCCAACGGAACGATTCAGCCTTGTGTGTATCCCATCTTTGTGTTTCACTCGCGGCTGGAAAGAAGTTGTGAAGCGATCGAGTCTTGGATATCTTGCTTGGGGAAGATTTCGAACATTCCGTCCTCTGACAGACCGGTTCGGAGGGTAGTGCGGCATTGCTGGCAGAGGTTTGCTGCGAATGGACATCTGTGTCTGACGGAGAATTTCGATAGAGAAGAAACTCGCAATCGGGACTCGAAGTCAAACGACTCGGTTCATTACCCTTGCAATTGTCAGGCAGGTGTTTACCTTCGAAAGCAGAATCATCAGGATTCGAAGACCAACCTGATCTTCCAATGGACGGACAATTGATATCCGCTGCCGTTTCGCTGCGTGGGTGGCCATGACGACGATCAGCAACAAGAGTATGAACAGTTATCTGCTTCTATGGAGCACGGGCCAAGGCATGGAAAACATTCAATTTTAATAGGCATGTCGTAGATATAGGTAGGTAAGATAAGACCCAGGGGATCTTGGTGTCCGATAAGTCTAGATAGTCAGTTTGTCACCCAACACGCCAGATCTCATTCGGTATGCAAAGTGAAAGAATCCTTTCGTCTCTGATAAGGTACAAGATCAATGGAAAGACGCTAGTAACTCACAATGGCCACCCCGACCCCACAGTGTCTACAACGGTATCTTTATTGACATGCCAATGATGCCATACTATAAAATGAAGCCTAGGTAGGTAATTTCTCATTTTCCGTCCAATCAATCACTGTCCTTTCTATATCATGAAGCCTAAGTCAGATCTGCTCAGCGAAAAATAAGTGTGAATATCCCGTGTGAATTATCCTATGTATGGAGTAGGTACCTTAGACAAGTTAACCTTAAATGATAAGGTAGTTCCACTGCTCAAAATTTACTTCCAGTGCTTGAATTGAATTTCCTTTCTTATTTAGAACTACTGTAGTCTGTAGTATAGTATGAAACTGTCCTTAACTAAATTTGCCTGATTGCTTATATGTAGAGAAGTATAGTTAAACCAGTACATATAAAGACCTCCAGAGGCGACGGTGCATAGAGGGCAATATTTAAATTTTTTATTAGTACCATTTTCCAAACTAGAACTATCTAGTACATACCAATTTTCTATCTCTCTGTAGCCCAAGAAGTCAACTTAGATACACCATTAGCTTAATATATCCCCGGCTACAGAATACACTGGAGTACTGGACTCACAGCTACACAAATCCTCGGGCTTGTCTCAAACTCTCATCATTCCTGCTTTAGATCCCTCTTAGCTGAAGCTTGTTAGTTCCTTAACATCCCTTGATTAACTGGATCTCGGTACCTAGAATGAGCAGAGGGGCCGTGCAACATGTAGCCATCACCTATAATAGCCTAAAGTACTTTTTGAAAGGACAAATATGTACGAGAGCTGAGACTCCCAGCATATATATCAAGTACCATGATATATAAATCATCAAACTTGATAGTACCAGTGATGCTAGCATACATCATTCCTAATATATATCAACTATTCTCCGTGATTCGCTATTATCAACTACTTAGGGCGTTAACTAACTATGCCAGTCTTGCCCAGGTTTGTCACTCTGTGACGGAGAAGAACTTTCTATGGGATGCAGAGTGTCTCGGCATGAATCTTCATAGGCTTGAGGGAACCCGACCCGATGTCACAATAGTATGCTTGGAAATATGTGGCAAGGAAGGAAGATTTCAATGGTAGTAGAGAGGTATTCGAAGATTTTAAAACATACAACTCTGTGCATGCCCGCCAGCCAATTGAACGACATATATTATGCTTTCCAAGTCCAGCAATGACATCCGAATCGGCCACTAGACGAGCACTCTGGAAAGGAGACTGAGAAAAAACCAAAATTGGTCCAAAGTTCGTTGGCTCGGTCGCCCTACATTGTCAACCATCAACGGAGCGCTACAAAGTATGAGACATGGAGATAGGTGTAAGAGCTGGTATGTTTCCTGCTTGCCTCTTCTCTTCTCTTGTGTGAATCGCTTAAGACGCACCGAAAAGATCGTAATAATAGTCATCATCCAGGCCATCTCGGGAAGGAACCTTCGGAATTTCCCCAGGAAAAGTCGCATCTTCAAAGCGCACATTGAATAGACGGATCTTCAGCCCGTAGTCGCTGACCACATTGATCAACTTGTTAGAGTCTGCTGTTATAGGTCTCTGATCCAGCAACATAAGCAACCCGTCGAGCCACTCAGACGCCATGCTCGGGGATTGAGGCCGGAGAGTCAACAAAACACCCTCCTTTGACTTGCTGATAGAACGAGCATGACTATGACCCTTCGATGGGCCCCTTGTGACAGACGAGGGACATTCAATATACCCATGGATCGTGATTTTAGTCGAAGATACAGAAAGGGGTGCGATTTTCAAGGTAGACGAAGATGAAGCGTCAGCTGATGCTGAGATGTTGGATGCCACAGACGAAACGGCCGACAAATCAACTGGTCGACGAGATAGTCAACAGACAGGTACGGTTAAAGTGAATGAACAGAGGAAATCCGAACCTTTTCCTGGGAGAGAATCAAGGTCTATCCTGCCATTTCCTAGCGTCTCAAAATCCCCGTAATGCAGGAATTTCCTGTTATGCGACAATCGCACATATCGGTAAGAGACATTTTCGACAGAAGAGGAGTCTGTATGAGTAGTGGCCTCAACAGGAAACCAGTAGCCCTGCAGAAGGCAACGGATCCTTTGTTCCTTGACGAATTGGAGAGCCTCGTGATGAAGTTCTTCTCGGACCTGTTGCAGATGTTGCCTCCAAACGTCTTCATACGTGAGCTCTAAGAGTTCCATCTGTAGATCTCGAAGCCGGCGGTATTCGAAATTGACTATCTCGTCTTCCACGTCATGCACTTCCTTTGTTCGAGTTGCCCCACCGACAACCGATTCAACAAGAATTCGAACCAGCTCAGCAATTTTTGCGAAATCATCGACGTCTGCATTGGTGGTCTTCCATAACCGGACGAAAGCTTGCAATGCCGCGACGTGCAAGCGTGTCCAGTGTAGCAATAGAGGCTTGAACAACCGGTCAAGGTTGGCGCGAGACTCTAAGACCAGATAGTTCTTTGAATCCTCTATCTCGGATTTCTCTATCTCAAAGTGCTCGTATAAGATTGAAGTTACCGCCAAGGAAGCGCGGGCAATCGGACACCGTTTCTGGCCTGGTTTTGCTGACTGCTCCAACAGCATTTTTCGGAACTCGTTTCGATGATTTCTGACATAATCCGCAAGATCCATCATTCCCAGGAATCCCATCTCTTCGAACTGAGCTATTGGATTTTCTGATTCGAATCCAAGCCGCCTCCACTTTTCTGAGTTGTGCTTTCTAGAATGCCGCAACTCAGCGTCACTATCAACCTTTTCGTCAATGCTCTTCTCCTGGTCACTAGCAAGGTGTATTCCTTTCAATGCTCTCCTATGCTCTGGTTTCTCTAGATCCAGGGGAATATCTCGCCACCTCCTAAGCAGAACCTTTGTGAGAGATTGGAACTCTATCAAAGGATGAGCGTGGTCCTGCAACGTTGTACCTTGCATGAGAGCGTAAACTGCTCGAATCACCCCTAGATCTTGAAGTTTTTGTATGAACCTGGGCCATTCTAGCTCGGAGCCATTTGCGATGGAGTCACGCATAAGCGAGTTGATGAGTTGAAGCGCATTCGCACATAGTGCATGGTCCGCGGACGAGAGTCTATTGACAAGCATCTCGAGGAATTGTGGATAGATTGCAAGTGCGGGTTTCAGGGCGCGAAACCCAAAAGCATCAGCCTGTGGTGGACGACCCCCCGTGTACGGATGGGATACAATGGATACTAAGATAGACATTGCGCCGCGCAAAATGTTGACCAGAGGCTGCGTCACAATGAGCTCGACAATCTAGAGGTAGGGGCCAAAACGCTCTGTTAGCATTGATGCAAGCTATGAGACTTTGCTATCCTTTTATGGCGGCGAATTTCAAAGACCTACTCTTTCCACCAACTCTTGGTCAACTAAGTCCCATCCTTTATCTACTTCCAACAGCCTCGCGAAGCTTGTCAAACTGTAAGCCAGCGTATTTCCAGTTGCATGTAATGTCAATTCGCGCAGTTTGGTCAGCCCCCCTTCAGCAATGAAAATATCAGCAAACGAAGGGTCTCCGATGCTGCCTTGAAGCTTAAAAACTGCCATCTTGCGCACCGCATCTTCTTCACTCCCCAATCGCTCGACTATGTCATGAATATTGCCCTCCATTTCAAAGGAGTTGCTCCGTGTATGACCGACCGTCGTAGTATGCCATCAGAGATCCAAGAATCCAAGAATCCAAACAGGTAGCAGTCACCATCCATATATTTGCAATTTAAAACAAAAAGAAAGAAAGAAAGAAAGAAAGGAACACGGAAATGTGATTATTTATGAAACTAGGTGAATCTGCAGCAGCTTCCTGCTCCGCTGGCTATTTATGGCTAGGTGATGCCTCCATACGGAGTACGAATACTCCGTACTTTATGAAGTGAATTCAGGGGCGTCACCTGACTTAGGTCCCTGAAGTTGATTCAGGATAGTAAAATAACTTACTCTATATAACACACTACCAAACCATATCTGCTTCTAGGAAAGTACCAGGAAATATTGAACATATAGCAAATTGAAGTGCAGACAGTAAAGCGAGCAATCAAGGTACATGATTTATGTGAGCGTCTCATCCCTAACGCTACACCTGGAGCTTCGAGCTTCGGGTCAGGCAAAGATATTGAGAAGCCAGCAAGCTGCTTCTAGCGACCAAACCTCATCTGAGCCCCGGCGTAATGCCATAAACCCCTGAGAAAACCCTGATATTCGACAGGTTCGCCATAACTAGTAACGCCGCTGCTTTTACCACCGGTGCAAAACATTTCAGTCAGGCGGATATGCCAGGGAGGATATCCATCCAGTTTCAGAAAGGGCGCGAACACTAATAGTAAATCTGGTTCTGGCTTCACTGCAATAGGGGGTTGAATAGCAGTCGTTCGTCTCTCACCAATACTCGATGTGGCTGGCTGCAATGGCTGCGTTGTAATTTCGCTAATCTCTGCATCCACCAATCCCATGGTGATATCCCCTGGTGACAGTCTACCATTCTGTGACATCTCTGCTAGCGTTTGAGTCAGATCAACTATAGTTTCTCTCCCATCGGTAGCGGATAACAGAAGCAGGGTAAGAGAGTCAGTATTGACTCTACGGGTCGTATCATGATCAAGAGATGGCTCATATACAGAATGATGAGGAGCGAAAAGTCGCAGGGTTGGCTGCTGAGGGAGTGAACCGTAATATGAAGCGAATTTGCTCGCAACCACTTGATGCAGCATCGGGATGCATGATTTCAGGACCCCTA